TAATACGATTCTTGTTATGCCACACACAACAACACCAACACCAACACCAACCACAACAACAACCCAACCACAACAACAACAGCAGCTACAAATTAACAAAAGAAAAGCCGAATGAGGAGAACCTGACAGCAACAACAATAAGAACAAACCGAACAGAGCAAGTAAATCATCAAAAACGAAAGGATAATAACTATTACTGTTATTGATTAAGTTTGTTATTATTAGAAACACCACATAGACACACACACAGCGTGCAGTGAAACCTTTGGGAAATGATGATGAAGATCAGGACCTCTTGATCTAATTATCCTTTTCGAGGCTTCACTTGCCGCACACACACACACGTCTCATAGAGTCATAGATTTTGGTTAGGCATCATTAATGAGAGGCGGCAAATGGAAAACAAGAATTGCAGGAAGATTTGTTAAATGGTTCCAAGAACAAAACAAAAAAAAAAAACATAGTAAAAAGAAAGAGTTTATATACATATATACAAAGAAAAAAAGAAAGAAAGAAAACATATACATATGAAGAGAACCACATCTACATAAAGTATATACAAATATATATAGAACTATATATAAATGCTATATTAGCAAAAATGTTGTCTGTTGAAAAAAAAAAACGAAAATGGGATATTAAGTAAATGAAATATTGTTGAAAATGTGCGAAGAATAGGAGATGTTGGTGTAATTATACTCACATCCCACAAAGGGGATCCCCATTAGGTGTATAGGTGTGCTTGTGTCCGAGTCATGTGTGTCTGAGTGTTGTGTGTGCCAATCAATTAAAGGATTTTGTACCAGAAACCAGAAGCAGAAACAGAAACAAAAACGGAAATAATAGAAAACATTTTGTGCCATTAGAAATTCTCCACCAAATGTGAAAATGAAAATTCAACAATGCGAATAGGACGCCATAGATAAAGAGATCGAACAATATACTCATATATAGAGAGATATATATACATATATAGTATATGTAAACCAATATGATTTGTTGTTGTTGCAGAAACCACAAGAATTCTGTTTGGAAAAGTGTAATTTACATTTACATCTTTCGTTGTTAGATTCAATGATTTGGTTTTCTAGTGAAATTATATTTTTTCAAAGGCAAAACAAGTGACAACTAAAATGCTATAAGAGTGCCATTATCAAACAAATTTTAAATATATATGATATACATATAATTAAATGATAAATTATTGAAATTATACGAGAATACGAGAATATATATATGTATGAATAATAACCTAAGCAGGAGGCAACTAGGCATAATTTCTAGTTAGGATCAGAAGGCAGAGAGCGCAGGATATATATTGTTTGTTGCTTGTTGATTGTTAATCTTTGGGTTGCAGATGCATACATATAATATAAAAAACCTACGCATATAAGAAAAGCATACAACAACACGTATATATGACAGTACAATAAACATAAATATTCTATATACAGAAAATCAAGCAGCAATAGAGAAAAACTAAACTAAACTGTATGAGAAAACTCGAATGAACTAGACAAATTATACACGACAGAAGAGTATAAACGATGGTTGGATAGCCCCCAAAACGAATGAAAATCAATTATAGTAAAGTACTAAAATAATTCTAAAACAGCAGTCTCTAACCTGGTAGACACTAAAATTCAAAGCCATAAACATACCGTACTCAAGGTTAAGACCTGGTCCTGAACATTCGGCTCAATCGTATGATCGATTCTACTCCAGAATTCACTTGAAAAATAGTTAAGAGAGGACTAACTCTCGGTTTTCGTTTCTCTTTGGAGAGTAAAAATGCCAGCTAAAAAGAAACTCCCTCGTTCGCTATTGTGTACATTGCAGGCAAAGCGTTCGAAAGAGAGCAAAAAGCAAGTGGGTTTCAAATAAGAGCGAGTTCTCGTAAAACCTTGCTTTAATTAGCCAATCATAAGCCAGATTTTTGTGTAATTCGTTGTGGCCTTGGATATTTAGTGTCTGCATTTGGGTATTAGCACACATGTTCACCCGCCCCGCCACGCCCGCAATTAACAATTAATACCAAAGGCAAATTTTTAAATTGAATTTGATTTACAAAATTTTTGCTACAAGTGCAATATATAACTTCAAAAAATGAACCACAATTTGTCTTGTGCGGCTATTTGCCAAAGTCAATTTCTTGAAATGAATAGTCTTAAAAAACCACACATTTTTATAACAAAACAAAAATATATTAAAAAAAACCAAGCGAACAAGACAAAATGTGGGACTTTTTGAAGAAGTATAGGGAAAGAAACATAGAAATCACTTTTGAATTAGTTGAAATTTATTTGAGAATTATTCGATTTATAAACCATGTATAATTTATGTTTTGTTGTTAAACTAATTTTTACTAAGACCCCGTTGCAATTAGCTAAATTATTATTATTTTTTGTTTGCTGTTAAAGTTTATTAGATAAAAGGAAAGAAAGAATGCTGCGAAACATAAAATGTTTGGCAAAATAACTCTTGTTTGTTAAATCGTTTTTCTTTAAATTAGTTTTAACACTGTTTTAATATTATTATTACGAAAAAAAAACAAAAAATTTATATATATACTGTTCACATTAATTTAACCAGAAGAACAACTCTTTATGTTTTAACTTTTGTTATTATTGTTAATTAATATTTATCAAGTAAGAGCAGAAAAGAAAAACATTGAGAATTAGCTGTTAACTGTGTATGTAAGTTACAAAATAATGAACAAAATATACTCCAAAGAAACCAACCAAAAATATATATATATATACAACACACATATATACAAGGACATATACATATACCAATATATATATATTTTAGACAAGCAAAAACAAAACTGAACAACCAGACAAGAAAACGTTTTAGTAAAGTGTATTTGGAACAACAAGAAATTGCCATAAAAACAGATTAAAAACCAAATAAACAAAAACAATAATTAACAACCGAACAAGAACAACCGAAGGAAAGTTTAATTGTAAACGAAAGTTGTTTATTTTTTGTAGATTAATATTTAACAATGAAAACCGAGTAAAAAAATTGATATACATATATATTTATTGTTAACGAAACCACGGAAAAGGCGAAATTATGAAAAAAAACAAATTTATACAACCAAGAATAATACAGAAAAACTTTAATTGAAGAAGCTGATATTGTTAGTACCTTAAAAAAAAACAAAAAACGAAAAAAAAAACATAAAATTAAAATAATTATTATTAATAATTGTAATAACAAGAGCTGTAGGATTAAAAAAAAACAATGAACAAAATAAAAAACAGAATTGAATGTAACCAAGCCAAGACCATTTGGGATTATGTTTTAATTTTTCGAGAAACCAATTTAAATCCCGAAAATTGTTATTTTTGTGAAGCAAGGAAACTCGGAACAAATGGCATTATATATGGAAATCGTTTATATACAACACATTGTTTGAAATGAAAGTGGTAACAGAAACAGAAAACAAAAAACGAAAAAAAACAACAAAAAACCAAAACAAACAACAAGAATAATAAAGATTGATATTGAAATGTTGAAACCCCAAAAAAGAGAAGAGCGAGATTATTTATAAAGTATTATTTACTGGGGGTTATTAACTAGTTCTCTTACTTACAGATCGTGAGCAGACTGGTGAAAGAGGTCCAAGAGTCAGGTCAATGGTCAGCCATTGCTACCGTTACGCCATAGTAGACGGTACTACCTGCAACTGTGTGAGCTCCAAATTACATTTAAATTTTAGCCCCCTTTTAATAAGTTGTAATAATTAAAAATAAAAAGTGTTGAAAGTTGAATGGTAAGATTATCCCACTTTTTCTGTTTAGCGTTAGAATTTCTATCAACTTTTTATTATTTTAGCAAACCGATGTAACCTCCTCTTTTATTGCTACAATTAACTATATCTATCGCTCTGCAAAAACTGAACTGGTAGTTGGTTAAAATGACAAATATTCATACATAAATATCATACATCTTAGCATATTCCCCAAATTGTATTATTTAGTTTTTTGTTTATATTTAAATATGATCTCGTAAACGACATATCCGCTAACCTATTCCATTTCTTTCTCTCAATTCTTGTAGAGAACGCCTGGACACTAGCCGTGAAATCGGTTACCTCGCTGAACAATATCTCCAGGCCGAGGAGCACCTCGCACATTTGTCCACGATGTGACAAGGCCTACACCTACAAGAAGAATCTCTCGCGACACCTGCGCTACGAGTGCGGTCACCTGCCCACGGAGAAGTGTCGCCATTGCTCCTATGTGGCACGCTACAAGCATAGCCTTAATATGCATCTCAAGACGCAGCATCCGGAGCATTCCTTGGGTCCGAGGAGAGATGATGGAGCTAATGATGGGCAGAGAGTCCCGATGCTGGCACCTCGCGGCCTGTTTGATTCGAAAAGTGTTGTGCCTTGATTACATTTACACTTTGTTATTATTTTTTTTTAATTTGTTGATCTCGGACAGGTAAGTGTGAGTGGCCTTAAAAACAAAAAGAAAGCAAAGAGGAGAAGAGACGAAAAGATTGAAAGAAAGTGCCGTCGTAATGTTAATAAAAAATGCCTTTTTGTAAACCAAAATTGAAACGTGTCATTATTGAATTTTTTCTATTCCTAGCCGTTAAGTTAGTTAAGCTTTATATAAATATATTATATTAGGGGCACGCACGGTTTATTATCCTTATTATCCTTTTTTTGGCTGTGGTATTTTGTTTTGTCTTGTCCTTGGTTCTCATCTAAAAAAAAAACAAAAACACAATCCACCTACACTTATCTATATATAAATATATATAATATTAAGTTTGATTTAAGAACTAAAAAGGAAAAGCTATAAAATTGTTTGCTTGTTTTGTACCAAGATAAATAATAATTATTATAATAAAGATGAAGAGGATACGTTTAGTGACAGGATTCAACCCACACACAGCTGAGCTTAAGCGGTAACTTTGTGCACTTGGAACTCTAACACTAACTATCATCTCTCCCATCCCATCATTCGCCTCTGCAGCCTCCTCCAAGCAGGACAAGGGTGAACAGACGGAGGGAACGCCCGAGGAATTCGAGTTGGACGATTGCCTGCTGGAGAGCAATGACATTGTCATCACCCAGAACAAGGATGGATTTGTGCTGCATGTCAAGAAGCTGGGCAATATCACCGCCGCCGCCAAGATGGAAGCCGACAGCGCGGATCATCATTCGCATCCCCAGCAGCAGCAGCAGCAGCAGCAGCAGCAACAGGCTGCTGTCACCGTCACCGGACCGGCTGGCCAGCCCACGCCCACGATCACCGAATTGTTGAATGCCGCCGCCGCCTCCCACTCGGATAAGCCACCAGCACTAACTGCTTTGAGCAGCGGAACGACCATCAAGTTGCCCTCTTCGGAATGCGGTAAGTTTCCACATCTTGACCATAAATATAAAAGTGAATTGGAAAAACTTGGTTCGAGCTTTGTTAGGTCCAAGAATATTAATGAATCAGAAAAGTTGAACTATGAGTTTTTGTTTTAATTAATAATATGTCATGATTGTTTTAATGTTTGAATAAGAAACAAAGCTCGCAGATAACATTTATCCGTCGAATTATCGGTCGAATCAAAGTATTTATGTAAAGATACTTAGAACAAATAGTTTTGTGATAAACTTCTCTTCCCTGTATAGTTTCTACAGAATCTTTGTTTATATCTGCATTAGATGTTATTGAAAGCAAGAAAACCCTTAAAACAAAGTTAAGATCAAAGCCACTAAGTAGAAGCTAAAATAAGGGATACATTAAGGAGTATAAATTTTAAAGAAAGCTATAAAGAGTAGTACAATTAAACTTGTTTTTAAAGACACAATATTCTATACACATATTAAAGAAATAGTATCCGAATATATGCAGCTTTACGTATAACTAATTAAAATATTTTTCTATCATTAAGTTACTTGATAAATTTAAGATGCAAATCACTACATACTTCCTTACTAATACCGAAATTCTTCTTTTCCCCCTAAATGTTTACAGAGCTTATCAACATTAAGAAGATAATACCGGCAACCACATCGATTGCCACACACCATCATGCGCACACAAGCTCGGCGACAATCATACATCCCCATCACATTATCCAACATGTGCCACAGGAGACGCACCATCAGGAGCAGCAGCAGCAGCATCACCACCACCAGACGATCCACATCGAGGAGGTGCCACAAACGTCGCAGCAGCACCATCACCATCTACAGACGACCCAGCCGCCGCAGCACACCCAAGTACAAAGCATTATCACAACGCATCCCGGCCAGACGATCAACCTGGTTGGGCTGCGGAATGTGCAGCTGACCGATGCCAAGCCGATTTCAGCCTCAAGGATTCGGTATTCGCGCGGCAAGATTATCGGTGGGCCCACTGTACAAAATCTGCAGATCGTGGAGACCCATGAGCCCATCCAGCACCAGCACCACGAGTTGGCCGATGGCACCAAGTATGAGATTAGCGAGATCGATCTGAACAATCCCAATGCGTCGGCGGCAATCATTAGCGACCTGGTGAAGTACGCCGAGATCGATGACATCGAGCTGCCAGATGGCACCAAGATTGGCATTGGATTTGCCCCCTCAGAGATTACGGAGCACATGCAGACCTCGGGCGGGGAGACGCACATCACCACCATTGAGCACGATCCACAGGAGGTGCAGACGGTGCACGAGGTGCATCAGCTGGAGGAGTCGCAGCAGCAGACGCATCACATTCATACGACACAACTGCAGACGCACCACATCCAGACGGTGGTGCAGACCGGAGATCAGCAGCAGCAGCATCATCATCATCAGCGCCTCGAGCTGCAGGACGACGATGGTGTGGAGACGATTCTACCCGAAGAGATGGGTGTGCACGACTCCAGCAAGAGCTACACTATTCTCACCACGCGACCGATGAAGGAGGAGTCCGATGCCGGCAACGATCCCTCCGGCATGACCTACGAACTATCGTTGAGCGATTCATCGTTGGGTCCCTGCGATGATCCCGAGTCGCGGTACGTGTGCCGTCACTGCGGCAAGAAGTACCGCTGGAAGTCCACATTGCGTCGCCACGAGAACGTCGAGTGCGGCGGCAAGGAGCCGTGTCATCCCTGCCCCTACTGCACCTACAAGGCCAAGCAGCGTGGCAATCTCGGGGTTCATGTCCGCAAGCATCATCCGGAGAAGCCGCAGCTGGAGAGCAAGCGAGGACGCAAGATCTAAGCGAGCCAGGGTGGAGGAGGAGTTGTGAGTAGACGAGAAAATGAAACCCTTTGAGTTCTAGACCAGTTTTTCATTATTTTTAATACTATTTTTTTATATCATTTTTTATCATACAAACACAGTTGTAACTATTTAAGCTTAAAACGTTCTTATTTGTTGATTATTTTTATTAAGTTTATAAGTCGAAAGATTTTTCCCTACTTGTTTCTTATATCCAAAAGTTGATCTTTTCTTAAAAACCGCATTGAGTTCTTCATATTTACCATAAGCTTTAATCTTTGTATGTCTTCACCTTTAAAATAATTGGTTCTTTTGGTAATTTTCAAAATTACAAATTAAACACTTACGAACGCCCCAAAAAATTAACATAAACTAAAAAAATAGTCGACAAACGATGGAAGACGAAAACTTCAAATCAATGTGCAAGTATTTTCATGGAAATAACACAAAGAAATATATAGAAACTAATTCTATATACAAATGAAAAATAGTTTAGAGAAACATTAACTGTAATTAGAAATCTTGATTCTGTATGTATGTGTGCGTGCTCTCAAAACAGAAAATTTACAAAAAAAAAGAATAATAATAAGCAAAAAAATATACATATATAAATCTTTATAATGAATATAAATCTTGAAATCATGTTGAGTTAAAGCTAGCAAAATCTTAACCTGAAAACTATGAAAAAAAAAAAAATATATATATTAATTTCAACTGCAAATTCAACGTTTTTGGAGGAAACTGCACATAAAATTAATTTTATAAATATTATCAACACGAAAAAACGCTCTTAAAACTAAAATATGGAGGAAATTAAGATAAAGTGTAAACCTGTTTAAATTTGAGGCTTACAACATTAACACATATAATTATAATCTTGTTTTGAAAATACCCCTATACATAAAGATATGTAAAAACAAAGGGAACTAATAATATTGGTGATGTAAATTGCAGAAAACCTGAGAAAACCTAAAAAACGAACTTAGAAAAATTGTTTGTAAACCTTATAAATATTTGACTAAAGAAAAGGAAAAACTCTGAAACCATATTTTGACATATAAATATAAAATAAAAAATAAAAAACTAAATCCATACATATGTATTAGAACAAAATCTATATATATACGTCATTTTACAGTTTTTTGTGTGTGTAAATCAATTACTTGATGGAAATTAAACATTTACTATATATACTTATCTATAGAAATTATATATTTTGAAAACTAGTTGTAACAAAACAAAAAGGTCAAAATAAAATTATATAAAACCCTAAAAAAAAACAAATTTGTGATCAGTCGGAACTTTAGAATAAGTTTTAAGAATTCATACTAATATATTTCTCTTTCCAGGTGACCGATAGAAACCCCAGCACAGCGAAGAGCCTGCGGAGCCAAAATACCACTTAATGATCCAATTTTTCCGAGCATACCTAATATATTTCTCTTTTCTTTTAGATGCCCCCGAAGGATCGAACCTGGAACTGAGACTTTGAGGAGCCGGACGCATCTTGAGCTAAACTTAAGTAACAAACAAAAGCCAAAAACAATTGTGAAAAGGAAACAATTGCCTATGCCTATATATATTCCTATTATTATACATCTAAGAGCCCGAAAATCTAAACGTTCGTTTCTGTGTATGCCACTAAAAAAAAGTAACAACCAGACCCGAATCGAACCATGAACCTGAACCTGAACCTGAACCTGAACCTGTGTCCATACAATCCCAGCCGTGTTTCTAGTGTGTTCTAGTAAAAAAAAGAAAAAAAATCGAAACAAGAAAGAAACCCACCACCAACCACCAACCCCAAGCAGCACTTCCACCAGCTACTACAGTTCAATTAATAATTTAGTTATTCTTCTTTTTAGTTTTTTTTTGAAATTGATTTCTTTAAACAAAACAAAAAATAAATATGTTTACACCCTGCACTAATTGGCCTTACTTTGCTCAACGTGAAAGAGAGAGTTTTCGTTTTTTGCCTTATTCTGTATATATGTGTTTATTTTAATTTGTATCCTAATTTTTATTCACGCCACATAACGACATCCTAATGCTTTCTTATATATATATATATTTAGTATCACCTCTAAATGCTTTGACTAATTCTCTATAAATTTTGCTTTGCGTGTGCCACCACCTCATCCAGCAGATACATAAATCATCATTCCCTAAAATACCCCACAATATCCACTCGCCACTCTCTCATTTGTGTGTGTTATTACACCCAAGCTACTCAACTAACAGCTAAAAGAAAAAAAAAAATCCGTATCCCTAAGTGTTAAGTTTTGTTTCATTTTTTGTTATTATTTTCTTTTTTTTTTGTGCGATTTTTTATATAATTGAGTTTGTTTTTTTGCAGTTTTATCTCCTGTGTCGTCCAGTCAAAAGTAATTCTATTTATTTTTCGTTCTTTTCTCTTTTGTTTTTCTTTTCTCCGTTTTTATTTTCATATGTTGTGCGCTGCGACACACCAACTTCAACCTCCAAAAAATAATAATTATAAAATAAATACAACAAAAAATAAAAATCCATCAACAATTTACAAAACTACATAAACCAAACCCAAAACCAAACCCTCGATTAAACATGATCAGATCTGAGTATTACCCGCATTGCCGGACTCACCTGGAACGAGTGGAACGCCCGCCTGGCCATGCCCTTGGTTACCCTGCGCGAAGGCGTCCAGCCACTGATCTTTCCCACCGATCTATCGGTGGATAAGCAAAACGCCATCGCCAAGGATCAAACGATATCATCCAGCGGAAGGAAGACACCCACCACGGATGGTGGTGGCGGCGGCGGCGGAGTAGGAATGGTCAAGAGTGAGCCCAGAGCGGCCTCCACGCCAGCCAGAATTCACAGCAGCGGCAGCAGCAGCAGCATCAGTAATAACAATAGCAGCAGCAATGGCAAGCCAACCAAGACCAGTACTGGTGGCAAGTTGAAGCATCTGAGCGAAGAGGAGGCCACTGCCCTGATGCTCAAAGCCGTGGCCGAGAAACAGGCCGCTGCTGCTGCCGGCACCGAGCTGAGCTTTGGCGAGGATCAGGCCAGTTCCGGTAATGGGAACAGCAGCGATTATCCCGCCACATTGAGCGGTGCCGTGACCTTTGCGGATGTTGGCGGCCCAGCTGGACTATGCCACATCAACATCCTGAACAGCATTAGCGCCATGAACAACCTGATTAGCGGTAGCACCGCGGCGGCCGGCGGAGGCGGCATACCCACTGGATCGGGTCAGTCGCCATCGAACAGCGGGAACGGCGGCGGCAACAACAATGCGCTGGGCGTATCGGACAACGGTGCTGGACACCCGTGTCCCGTCTGCGGGAGAGTCTACAAGCTGAAGTCGTCGCTGCGCAACCACCAGAAGTGGGAATGCGGCAAGGAGCCGCAGTTCCAGTGCCCCTTCTGCGTCTACCGTGCCAAGCAGAAGATGCACATTGGCCGGCACATGGAGCGCATGCACAAGGAGAAGTTTAAGCTGGAGGATGTGAAGAATTTTGCCGGCTCCGGTGCCCTGGATGGCGACACAGCGGCGGCAGTTTCTGTGGCGGCAGCCGCAGCTGCGGCTGCTCTGGCCAGCGGCGTGCCAACCGAGTTGCATCCACACTTCTCGTAGAGAATATATACATATATATGTATATAGTATCTCTTGGGGAAGCCATGTATAAAAGAGTTAACGTTGATCAGTTATTAAACGATGAGGAGGCGACGAACTAAAAGAAAATAAAACAGAATCAGGGATTAATAAGAACGAAAGGAAATTACATAAAGAAAAGAAAATAAGAAAAACAGAAATAATCACACACCAAGCTCTCGGGAAAACGGAATCAGTGTGCCAAATTAAGCTTAAAATAAACAAAAAACAATCAATAAGCAAATGAGAAGAAAAACAATAATGAAATAGTGTTGTAAGATGATGATGATGCCTGGGATGTTTCGAGAAAAGAAAAACGCGTTCGAAAGGATCGCCAAACAATTTGTTGCAAAGCACAAAACAAAAAATGTACGCCATTTCCACATAAAATAATCTTTTTTGTTATAATTGTTATTAATTGTTTACACGATCTACACGAGACCGGTTTAAAAATCTATCATTTGTATAATTTCAAGAAAATACAAAACCAACAGCAAAGTGATCAGTAAAATGATTTTACACAAAAAAAACACAACATTAGATATTGAGCAACATTCCATAAAAAAAAAAAACAAAAAAAAAAAACCAACGTAAAGATGAAAGACAAAACTTGTACAATGAAAACGGTTTATAAGTTTAGTTTGAGAAATATTTAATTATAAACATATGTACTAATACATAACAAGGAATTATAATAGTAGCAGTAGCGAAACTCAGTGGATATTTAAGATGCAACAGCAAAACACACAAAAAGAAGCAAAGGAAAACTCAGTCCATATTAAGATATTACTCGTTAAAGTAAACCAGAGAGAAGAAGGGTTCTACAAGTCAAGTACATTTAACCAGCAGCATGATAGCAGGAAACCAGTGGAAATAGTTGAGGAAAATGCTATACCTCGGTGATGTACTTGAACAGGAACCCCATAGGTATTCAGATATTCATACAGAGTGCCAAGCAGGTTCAACTTAGCTACCCATATACAAGCAGATATTACTGCAACAATTACAGCAGAGATACATAGGTTCTTTTAACCAAGAAACGTACAGAAACCAGTGGAAATACAAAATGGTAATGTACTTGGGGAAAATGAAGAAAAGAAAGGACCTCACATAGATATTCAGTAAATAGTGCCAAACAGATTCAACTTAGGTTCCCATATAAAAACACAAACAAAACCACAGTCAGTCAGTCAGTCAGTCTCTTCAAACAACAACATTTTACCTCAAGTGGAAACATTTTTGCTATTATATCGATGTCTTAGGCTAGAGAGAAGGAACAGCAATTCACAAAGCTCAAAGTACATACACTTTTTATTTAGATTTTAATATAGGAGCAGAGGCAGCAGAACGTTAGATAGTCAACGGAGCAAGTGCCTTGATAAATTGATGGAATAAAAACAAAAAAAACATAAGCAATTTGCAAAAGACATTTAAGCATATGGAAGAAAAAAATCAACAATCTATATTCGTAACTGTTTAAAGCCATATAAAAGTAGGTTAAGGACAGGAATTTAAGTGAAAAGTCAACCGGAAGGAGGTCAGGATTTAAATGGTTTCGTAGATATTTAAACTCAGGTACTTAGTGAGGGCGAAACCCGAATTCCAACAACACAATCCAGTAGCTGAGCTACTGCACAAATGCAACATTAACAGATTTAAATAGCAACAGAGATGAGGAAACAGAAACACCGCCACAAAAAATACGTCACATGCGAGCGCACTTTATTTATTTTTATTATTTTTTTGATATCTTATAAATACGGTATGGATAAATGTGTGTGCTTATAATATATTATTATTATTACCTTACGCTGCACATTTATTAGATAGTCAAGTGTAATTTATTTAATTTTTTCTCTGCTTTCCACTACAACGAAATACATTCCATAGATGATTTTATTAAGCTTTAATCCTCTAATTAAACAAACGACAAGCAACAAA